TTATTTGGTCAATAGTTTCAGCTTTTCACCGCTGAGGTATAGTTTCAGCCTTAGTTGTAGTGAACGTACGGAACGTTCACTAAAAATAGTTTGTGAACGCGTTCGCTAAAAGATTTTAACGTTCGGAACATAAGGAACGTTAATTGCTATTATGAAATAATCGACATGAGCCTCACCCTGTGAGACGAATTGGAGCTTGTACGACTGGGTGATAAACAAAAAAAAAGAAACCGCCTTACAGTTGAAAAGCAGCGAGACCTTATTTATGTTAACGCAAGTTTGCGTCTTATGAACAATTCACGAATTAAGGAGCAATAATTTCATTACTATTTGCTATACTAGTGACTTATTTTTATTCATTATTGTTTATTTACTGTCTAATTCCGACAACATGGTTTTATCTCATTGTATCCATCTAAAGTTAAAAATTATCGGAAAAATTATCAAAATATTGACTAACGTTCACTAACGTTCACAAACGTTCACTACAAAATGATTGGAACGTACGTTCAGTACGACTAAGTTCAGCGTTCACTACAACTAAGGTTTCAGCATGCAGCAAGTTCTCCCGTTGTATTTAAAATCGAACCAAAAAATTCCACTGACTCCCTGACTCTTGTCACAGACAGTGGCGTAACGTTACCATTTGAACCGCCTCCCCCACTGAAGTCTGAAATGCATTGGCGCCCCTACAAAAATGTTGTATGGTCCATAAAAAAATGTCAGGTTATTTTTTGGGGCACCCTTACAGTTTTTTGGCGGTCCCCCCCCCCCTGGAGCTTCTTGTACTTCAAATATTCTTTTCGCATCGACCGAACGATAAATTTGCCGGGAAACGATACATTTCGCTGCTAAATCGAAAGATTTTTTTGTAAAAAAGACCTGCAAATCTCTGATAGCGGGGTCTACGGGGCCCTTTGGTACGCCACTGGTTTCACAGCCGTCATAGCGAACGTCACATCTGACTGCTTGGTGGCTTTAGCCGCTGCAGTCACCTTTTTCAAAGTCTTCCCTGTCACGAGACAGAGCGGCAGGATGCAGGAGTACAGATGCGGCAAAAGGGTGAGGATGAAATCCAGGATCAGTAGGTACGGGGTTCCTATTTCCGAGATGTACACGTGGTCAATATTGAGGATGAAGTTGACGATAACAGCGGGAAAGTAGCAGATAAAGTAGGAGAAAGTGGTTAGGGAGGTTACAAAGAGGGCCCCCTTCTTCATGGCCTTCATTTCCTGGGTTGTGGAGGTCGGTTTTCCAAAGTACCGGTAAAGAACGTAGTGTGTAGAGGCCAGGATGAGGTTCACCAGAAGTGTAATGACAATGAGAAAGGAAGTAAAGATGTGCAGCATCTTCTTCAGCACGTAGAGGGAGCAGCCTATGGAGTGAGGTGGACCCAGGTACCTGAAACGGATAGTTTTGGTCGTGATCAGCAGGATGGACAGTACGATGGAGGAGGTAATGATCACCGCTATGATCTTCAGAACCACTTTTCGTCTGGCGATATTCTTGTACCATCTGGGCCTGAGAACTGCTGTGATCCGGTAGAGGCAGATGGTGGATAGGATGAGAGACAGACTAAGGAATATGGTGATCTGTAAGAATCCCAACATTTCACAGCCTTTTCTAGAAATGTCAATCCATATCACAACTCCCTCGATCATAGCAATGATAAGATCTATTAAACATACCAAGGGAACAGCAGCGAACAGCAGGAACAAGGGCTGCTTGTCTCTGGAGATCACTATTAGGGACTTTAGGGTGTCTAGATTCAAGGGTATGAAAACTGGAGCAAGGCCGCAGTTGAGAAGTGTTATGACGGTAGAGACCAGAAAAACTGGGAGAGACATTTTCTGATTTCCACGGTCCACTTTTCTCTTCTTCCCACTTCCCATAATCATCCCATTTTCTTCCTCTATCGAATCAGTGTCATCTTCAATTTCCATCTTCTTCCCTTCCCCTTCCTCTATCGGATCAGTATCGTCTCTAATCTCTATCCTCGGCTCTTTTTTCTTTGGAGCAGCGTCTGTTTTTGCTTGAAAATGAGGGTGATCTGTACTAACGTCTGTTTTAGCTATTTGGATTATATTTATACCATTAATTTCAAATTGATGGTCACCTTCCGTTGAAATCTCCCTCCGCGCCCTTTCCGTCACAATCTTTTCTGACGGTATAAAAACAGGTCCAAACCTTGGTGTGAAGCAAAGAAATGGATTTGGACCGAAGAGTATTTGAAGATTGATAAGAATGAAGAGTGTGTTGAAAAAACTGGCCATCGTACCTGTAGATTAAAAATTTGTTAAAATATAACGACATGAAACGTAATGTACTTCCTTCTTACAGGTCAATTTTATCTTATTTCGTAATAACTAAAAAACTATGAACACTATTTATACCCTGTAGGGTACATATTGGCTCTTTTATTCTTCTTTTGCTAGAAAACTTAAAAGTAACAACATTTTTAGATAAAAATAGGTCTAAGTGAGGTCTATGGTTTTACAGACTTAATTTAAAAAAGTTTATTAAGTTTTTAAACTTTACTGAACGCCACAATAAAAGTCACACTAAAAGTCACACTTTAAGTACCTGTTATATTTTTACAAAACTATAAATTCTTAAATGATAAATTTTGTTGACTTTAAAGCTGCATTCGATTCAATTAATCGGGAGTTTATCTGGAAAGCTTTCAGTCATTATATCATGGCTTGCCTTGTAATTTGTAAATACAATATACATTCGCATAATGCAAGCATTCTTTTGCGGCACCGTCAGCGCTGTCAGACATAATGGTGAGCTCTCTGATTGGTTTGACGTTACATCTGGTTCTGGGCAGGGGGATATTCAGGGTCCACCTATCTTTAATGTTTGCATCAACCTGCCTGCGCAGCGGGCTGAGGATAACAAATTGTTGTCACACGGGGCAGTGCTGCAGAGAGCTACCACCAGCTTTGGTCAGGATACAGTCGTCCTGGATACTGACTATGCAGATGATTTGGCTATCATTGACAACACCAAGGACGGTCTCCAGGAGACGACTGATCTTTTATGCAAGTATGCGGCTCAGGCTGGCCTCAGAATCAATGCGAAGAAAGCAGAGGTTATGGCCATCGGCAAGAATACATCACAGAGGCCGTATACTGAAGCATCAACGGTGGACATTACAGTAGGAGACAGGGCTATCCAGCAAGTCAGCAACTTCACTTACCTTGGGTCGATTATATCAAGTGATGGGACTATTGACCGGGACTTGTCTGCACGGATCCAGAAAGCCTCAGGAGCATTCAATCAGCTCGGTAATATTTGGAAGACTATTTCATCAAAACTGTTTGAGGAGAATCCTTCGAATTGAGTGGTTCCACCGGACGAGCAATGTTCAAGTGTTGGAGCGGGCAAGAATAAACCCGGTTATAACCTACATCAGTGCCAACCGTCTTCGCTGGTTCGCTGGTTTCTAGAATGCCGGACACCAGGCTACCAAAGTATCCATTTGACTGGACACCTGCTCTCGGCCGAAGATCACGTGGTCGGCCAAGAAAGAATTGGCGAACCTCGGAACCTGTGTCCTAAAAGACGCAGTAACATTTACAGGAGATCCAGACATTGTATTTGATAAGGTCCGAGAGTTGGCAGGAAACCGCAAGCACTGGAGAAAGATGATACGACATAAGCGGCAATTCCTTGGTGCATGTCACTCGAATGATTGAGGAGACCTTATCAAGTATCAAGTAAGTAAATAATCCTTAGATAGAAGAACAGCGCATACAAAAGGGAAATAATGAATTTAAAGTTGACCGTCCACAGTCAAGTCGGTGTCTCTCCGCTCCAGAGTGACCTTCATAATCCACAAGATGTTGCTTTATAATGTTAATGACGTGAATTGGACTTATAGAAATGCTGCCTATTTATAGCACCCTGACCAATATTGTAAATATAAGATTCTATTGTATTGGAAAATTGGATAGATCGAACCGTTGTGTTTGAACTATAGATATATCTGTTGTTTGTAGCTTTACTATGTTAATTCATTTTATGCTTTTAACTCATAAATGGAAATATGAGAAAACTGGATAGATCTAACCGTTGTGTTTTGAACTATAGATATATCTGTTGTTTGCAGCTTTACTATGTTAATTCATTTTATGCTTTTAACTCATAAATGGAAATATGAGATTGCCGGGCAAAAGATATGAAATTGCATGCCAGTTAGTGTTGAAATTTCTTCAAAGATCACCCCAACTTAGTCCAAAACACTAACTGAGTTTTATAGTCAAAATAGACCCACCCACCTGCATATGCTCTGACCACTTGAAGTTATAAAACTTGGGATATGATACTAAGTTTATCTGGTGGATTCGTTTAGTGTTATTGAGTCTCATTTTGATAGTTCTTTTGTTCAAATTTCTGATTGTTTCTGAATAGACTCAGTGAAGAAGGATTCTAATGGAAATAAATAGCTGAATATTGGAAATTATTTATGTCCATTAGAATCTGTCTTCACTGAGTCTATTCAGAAACAATGGGAAATTTGAACAAAAGAACTAAGTTTATCTGGTAATATCTTAATATGATCAAAGTTTCAGTCTCCACAAAATACCATGCAAATAAATTTATAAATCCCACTGAAGTACGATTCATTTATTCAACAAGGATCTTCTCAAACTACGAAAGATTCTTCTCAGGCAAATACCCAAATGGGTACACAAAAAGAAAACACGATCAATAAATGGTCAAATTACTACCTGGTGGTGTGAAAATTAGTTCGATGCTTGAGCATGAATATTTATTAACGTTTCTTATATCAAGACACAATGGTTCTACGTCAACCAGAATCTTGTGCTGCTCACCACACGTACCATCCCTGTGTCACCTTTATAAATTCTTTATTGGCTTGAATAGCAACATTGAGCAACAGTGAGGGCCAGAGGGACCCGAAAATGCTAAATCTCCGTGTATAACGTTGAATCTGTAACATCCCCAGAAGTTTACCAAGTTTCCCGCCTCAGGTGGACAGATTAAAGTCAGATCTGCGAGCCATAGCGTCACGTGACGTTGGTATGACGTCACGTGACGTGAGTATGACGTCACAGAATGACGTCACAGCCCTGGTTAGGACTGTTGCAGCGGAACTGGATATCTACGTGAACGCTAGATTCACCATGGTGAGTGTGCTGGAGGAGGGTGGGCACGTGCGTTTTGTTTGGATAATTATCTGCTTTTGCAACTTAAATATTAATGTTAATGTGAAAGAGTATAATAATTTGAATCACAGTAATATCGTAACAAGCAGTTTTATTTTTTAGTCATTGCTGTAGTCTTTAAGAAACAAAAAACAAATAAGGACAAAAACGTACGGGAAGAACACATTTTGTCACCATATTTCAGTAACGATCTGAATTACCCTGTTTCATAGCAGTAAACTGTATAACCTCTCCCAGTTACACGACCAGATAATAACAGAGTTTTGTAAAGACGCAGAGACAGCGGTAAAGACGTCGTTCTGTAGAGACAGTCTCAAAAGTCTGCACACCGTCCGGGAAATGACTGATACTATCAAATCAGACGCTGTAAGTTAACCTTAGCAGTCTGGGAAATGACTGATACTATCAAATCAGACGCTGTAAGTTAACCTTAGCAGACCGGGAAATGACTGATACTATCAAATCAGACGCTGTAAGTTAACCTTAGCAGTCTGGGAAATGACTGATACTATCAAATCAGACGCTGTAAGTTAACCTTAGAAATGAAAGCAAAAGAAAACAACCCATAGTTATTTAATGCACCGCCAAACCGAGCAGACAACGGACATGTTTGGTTTTATTAGTACTCACTAAGAAAAAGTAAGTAATGAAAGCAAGGTTGACAATAATGATGACTGAGTAACTCTGCTCCTATATTTTTTGTTTTGTTCTGGAAGCAAGTTTGCCACATAGGTCCTTACTGAATTGTCTATGGTCTAATGTGCAATGAAGTTAGTTTAGAAGCGAGGCCCAATTACACACATAATATTAGTAACCACCAATACTATTTCTTGAGTAACCACCAATACTATTCCTTGAGTAATCACCCAGTTTCTTGAGTAGTCACCCAGTTCAATAACACGGAGCTTCACCCCGCAGCTGAGTCCGATGAAGAACATGCTAGAATACGAGACGAACGTTGTGGAGCAACTCTTTTCCTGCTCCCTAGCCCTGGCTCAGTGGGACTTTGTCGGCTCCCTCCTCCACCTCCACAACTACAACCAGACTTACAAGGAGTTTATAGAGGGTTACAAGGGCAAGGAACGCTCTCTTATGGGCAAGAAAATCATCAAGGTTAGGATTTTAACTTTGTTAATTGTGAAAATGTCAATCGTATTATTAGAAAGCATGAGCCGAAATGTTTTAGTATAGCAGTTGTTTTAGTATATCAACTGACAACTAGTTGGTATACTTATACACCCCTGCAGATTTCGTCGATTTCAGGTGCCGACGGGACCATAAAAATAAAAGCAAACATACATTTTTTTCCCCTAAAATCGAGCGCTTTCTGCGCAAAAAAGTGACCTCCACAGAAAAAATTAAACATGGCTTCAAATCCAAATTTGAACCAGAGATTTTTCACTTCCTCACGATGAACTCAATTTTCAACCCAAAATAAAGTCTCAAAGGGGGAAATTACTCAGGTCAGGATTGTAGGCAATGATTATGCCAAACCATACATTTTTGTAAATTCATTAAACTTTCAATTTAGCCTAAAAGACCCTATTTCGCAAAATTTTTCCGGGGGGCTGCGCCCCCCTAGCCCCCGCCATTGGGGTCCGCCCCTGGACCCTGCTGGGGGCTGCGCCCCCAGACCCCTGCCACAGCTTGCAGCTTCGCCCGCCGACAGCCCCCCCCCCCCCCCAAAGAAAAATCCTGGCTACGTGCCTGAGCAAAATATAGGTTTAGGGCTTTTCAGATGATTTGGTTCCTCAACAGATACCGACGTACATAACGGTCAAAATGTAGTTTAGGTTTACCTGGCCCGTAGGTTACGAATGTGCCCGAGGAGAAAAAAAAGCAAACTTAAGAAGATTTCTCGGGAACATAAAAGTTCACCTCAAAACGAAATCTGCACCTATGTACTTATACCCATGCGTCATAAATGTTGTAGTGTTCGGTTCAAGTCACTTGTCATGATTAGGGCTGAAAAAACATTGCTGTTTATTAAGATTCTAATGATGGCTTTTGTAGTGGGAGCTTTCAGAATATTGAGTGGAGGAGGTAAGTGGTAAACACACAGTAACTGGTTAGTTAACAACTTTTTATAGCGCACATTGTAGGGTTAATTTTATAAAATGTTATAAAAAAAAGCGATATAAATAGAAGTGGTTCGACGTAATTTAATAAGTTTCGTGGATAAAACCTAAAATAGTCTCAAAAACTATGCTTTTAAAGGTAAAGTCACGTGATTAAAGTCGTTGTCACATGGTGTTAATTGATGTCGCGCGTACGAGTTATTTTAAACGCCTTTAAGTGCATTTTTATTCTGTATCTTTCTATGCATTTTTTTTAAATAAAAAAATATTATGCAACCCACCAAAAGCAATGGTGCCCTCCCCGGGATCTTTCCTCTCGCATTTGCGAGAGTCGACTCCAATGGTGAAAAAAAGGAGGTCAGGATTTGTTCACACAAAGCTCTAACATCGCTATTTTTTGATCATCGGCCTTCACTAAAGGTAATTTTGAGAGAGTGGAGGCCGACCGTCAGCCTGGATGCAGGGCCAAGTGGGAAACAACGTCAAGGCCCCTTCCTACATGGGCCATGTTGGTTTTGGCAGATACTGTAGTAATAAAATATGAGGTGAATTGAGTGAGGTGAAGTGAAAAGGGTGTAGTAATGGAGGAGGTCGACTTTCCTTTTGATAAAGTCTTCAAGTATTTTAATGAAACTATTTGTGTGAATACAATGGAGATAAATATGAGGAATTGTCATATATTTAATGTAGCAACATAATAGTATAGATAAAATGTTACGGGAGTCTTTTCTAGGCTGATAAATGTATTATGTCCCTCGATTTTTCTTTTTTCTTTCTTGAAATTATTACTAAGGTGGAGAAAAATGTGATACAATTTGAAGAATGAAGAACGAGTTACTTATTCAGTATTTAAAATGCATGAAAAAGGTGTACGGGTACGGTACCGAGTAAGAGTAGGTTATGCTGAATAGAGGAAAATTGTTAACAAGGGGTAACAAGGGGCCAATACCAAGGTTCTCCAACTCTCTTAATCCTTAATTTGTTCTCCTAGCACTTTGGGACATCATATTGTTATAGCGTTGGATCACTGAGCAATGACACGAGGATATCTGTTTTATTTGATCCTGATTTTTCAGGTCGAGGAACAAGATTAATATATAATCTTAATATTTTATTGAGGTTTTTACAAACACAACTGTCGTGAGTTCCAAAATTATTGCCAGTTATTTTATCTTAAATTCTGAATTTCAGGATGATGAGTTTCCAGAGTTATACAAATGGTTCTTCAAACTATACGAGCTTCTCCTTTCAAAATACACGCTCTATTTCTCCAAGACACTCTTTCAGGACAGCAGTAGAAAGTACGTTACCCTGGATTGCAATTATACCATTACCGGTTTTGTCTTTTATACTACTTCTTTTGTCCGAGCCGTCTCAAGTTAAATAACGTATGCAGATTGGTGCTGCGTGGTAGCTGCATGTATATAATGCGATATTGTCCACCATAACAGAAACAGATACCTAGTATCACGTGTCATTTGGTTGCCATTGACAACAGCTGCGTGTTTCAGAGTAATGCGTAGCTCGACAACGAACATAGTGGACCACCGGACAAAGCTTAATGACTTCAGTAAGAAAAGTAAAGCCGCTACAATATCTCTGATCCTGAATGCTGCTAACTTGGAGCGGCCCTTTATGGGGCATGGGTGTAAGCTGTTCAGTGAACAGGCACACAGGTACCAACCAGTTAACCAGGCTATGTTAATTAATTAATTAAATTAACCTTAGGTAGAAATCTGGACTTTTATCGGCGATTTTGTTACTACAGTAAGTATATAATTTTAAAGACAAACTTACTTTTGACGAAATTGTGCTTTTGATGGAACAATTAAACTGTTCCGGAGCTAGAGGGACCGTCAACATCCAACAGCATAGTTCGGTCAATTATAACTTTTTTGCACGTGTGATCATTCCACCTTTCCACACGTGTACTTATCTTGCGCGTGTAGTTATTTTGCACGTGTAGTAAATTGATGACGTGATAGCAGGGCGCTGTCCCCCGATGCACTCTCGCAAGACTCGGACATTAGCTTGGTTAGGTCGTGGTAAGTTGTATCGTGTACCGTAACGTGTAGCAAAAACAGAGTTCAATGTTTTTTACTGGCACACCTAGATATAATAAACAGTTGTGTCAACGTATAGAATATTTATCGAAGTTGTCCTAAATTAATTTTGTTGTCAAATGGGATTACCGATGATCAACATGTAAAGAATTAATCATAGCGATCATGTTTTTATTTCTCGTTGATTGCTGATATCCCAAAGACACAGACATCTTACTGACATAATTAGCCTTAATAGCTAGTATAGCTACCTTAAAAACATTCTGGATCCATTCAATTTCATTATATATGATATCAACTAAGAATACGAAATAAAATGTGATTGCAATGTTTCTGCTCACGCACGTGTACCTGTATACCACGCACGTGTACTTGTATACCACGCACGTGTACCTGTATACCACGCACGTGTACCTGTATAGTGTATACTACACACCAGCATAGTATACAAGACTCCACTAAATTAGAGGGTTAAAACTACATTATTATTTATTCGTAACAGTAAACCAATACAGGGAGATTGCGTCGAAACACAGTTTCATAGACAAGTTTGAAGTGATCTTCCACTACGGAAATGGAAAGGACGAGACACTGGACGAGGAGACGAAGACGGAGATTGTACATCTTTATTCTGATGTTTATCACAAGAATGGAAAACCTTATATTTACGATACGAAGCGAAACAGGTATGTTTTTATCGTGTTTATGTCGAGTTTTGTTGTTGTGACTTTGTGAAGGAAATTTAAAATTACTTTGGTCATTATGTTGAACCTTTGGTCAATTTCTTGTGAACTGACTTCTAGCCTTCTCCTCATTTAAGAAGATCTGTTTTGATACTAATTGGTGAACTGATTTTATCATTGAATTTCCAGGTCGTACTATTTGCTGTTATTTGACGAGAATGTCTTCCTGTCCGTTTCTTACAACACCAAGAAGAGTGAGAGAGACAGCGAGATTATTAAGTTCTTGGAGGATTTCAAAAATAGTATGAGTTTAAGTAAGGTTTGAGATGCACCAGTATTTAAATGAAATCGGTTTTTTTTTAAGTTAGTTTTTGCATTAAATGCGGATCATTGCTTAAGTTGTGATAAATTCAACGAACTCAACAGCAATTATTTTATTTATACAGAGACTTAGGCATTTTTTGCTTGTGTGAGTCAGACTATGATTAGATTTTTGACTATTTGATTTTACCCAACGTGAGCTTCTAATTTCTTACCTTTTTAATTATATTTCAGTAATTTCAGCAAAACGTCATCTCAGTTAATGATAATATTTTTTAAAATTTACTTAATAACCTCACTGTACAATTATAGGTAATGTACGTTTCGAAACTATAACCCAGAACCCTTGATAGCATGTGATATTCCGGTGTCCCTTAACACGTGATAAAGAATATTGCACGTGTAGATTAGTGCGCGGCGCGAAGCAACATGCACGTGCTGCTACCAGAACACACGGTTGACAAGGTGACTGACGAGTTAGGCGTCTCTCTCGCTGACATGACCTGTGTTGAGAGACTTTGTGAAGACGCTACCTTCAACCTCAATAAACTCGTCAGGTAACTGACTATAAACTATATTTAGAAATAGAAATTCCTGGGCTACATTTATGATCAGTGTTTATAAATGTCACTCAGGAATTTCAGCAAACTAGACTTTTCGCATGATATTATGTCTCATGTTGTGTGTATATAACTTTGATCTCCTAAGTTAGAGATCTCTGCAAAACAAAAGCAACATTAAAGATATTATATATTCTATACATTGCAGCACGGCACGAACATTACAGCGAGTAGAGCACAGTCCCGACCTATTAAAGAGACACCTTGTTGAGGCTGCTGAGCTGCTGAACATGCCTCTATCTCCATCCATTGCTGAGGTTAGTACCATGATGTCGGGGGGCCAGGGGGGGGGGGGGGCACTCTGGTGCTCAACTTTGATATAACAATTTGAATTGAAATCTCTGCCTGATTCTTAATCAATGTATAACTTATGACTAATGACTATGGCGGTATAGACTATGAACAGAAGCAGATGAATTATTCTAATAGGGCCATTAAAAAACATACGAACCATCATCATTCGAAAATTACCCATACCTTTCGACAAAATATAACTACCTTGATAGTTTGTCACGTGACCACATAATATGGTCACATGACATAACAACCACCAACTAACTCTGAACAGATGGAACTAGACCTAAACACCACCTCCTCCCACGAGACCCTCTACTTCAGACCTACTTCAGAGGTGGATCTCTACGATTTAACTCACGGGGTCACCACAGAGCGGACCTCACCTCCTCTAGCTCTGGAGGTCACTTTAACGTCAGAACACAGTCCTCTGGAGACTAAATCTGGAGACCCTAGGTCTCTCCCACCTACTGTATACAGGTTTGATATAAATAATGTATTTGCTGTGCAAGGATCGTTATTTTTAACGATTTATAACGATGAGGATGTAGTCTAATAAAAAGTCAAAACACTTAATTTGATACAAATTTACAAGCAAAAATTCGGTAATTTTAGTCAGAAAAAAAGAACAATACACATAATAAACTAAAACATCAAGTCCGCTAAGTTCACCCAATCAAGTAATCATCACCCTAAATACCAGAAGAGCTGGGCTAAAAGCGGCTGTAGTTTAGGATAAGAGAATGTAGGAGGTCGTGTTAAGAATGTCTCCAAAATCCCCCCTAATCATCACCCCAAATACCAGAAGAGCTGGGCTAAAAGCGGCTGCAGTTTAGGATAAGAGAATGTAGGAGGTCGTGTTAAGAATGTCTCCACAATCCCTCCAGCACACTCCCCCTTATCACCTACCATCCAGTCAGGGAGGGTGAACAACGGCATCTTATCCCCTCCAGCTAACTCACCCAGCCGCCCCACTGTCAGTGTTACTGCTGACTTCTTCTCCCTCAGCTCCTGTTGGAGGCTGTAGAAGAAGCCGTTAAGAGCGTGTTTGGTGGCGGACAACACAGCTAAACCAGCTTTAGGGACTACTGATAAGGTGGAGGAGGCTACAAATATGTGCCCTTTACTTTTCTCTAAATGAGGCAAAGCCGAGAGAGCTAGCTCTATGGGACTCAACACGTTTACACTGAAGGTTCTCTCCACAAACTCAGGACTTTGGCCGTGTCTTGTCTTAACCAGGTACCCTCTAGCAATCTCTGCTTGATTAAGAACCAGGTAGTCAAGTCCCCCAAGCTTCTCAATTGTTTTCTCAATGATAGTATGCGCGTCCTCCAAGTTACTGTAATCATAAGACAGCAGCTCCACCTGAGGGCTCCCTAAGCTCACCACCTCATCCCTCACCCTCACCAGACTGCTCCACGTGTACGCGCTGATCTGGGTCTGACTCTGGGGACTGTTGTTCTTCCCCTCCTTGTTGTACACGTTCTGTTTGTTCGTCAGGGACTCGGACCTGCCCGTCCTGGTGACTAGCATTAGTTTGACGTGGTGGGGCGCGAGTTGACGTGCTAGTTCTGCTCCGAGACCCGCACTGGCGTCACATATCAGGACTGTTTTGTTGGCGAGGAGAGTGGTGTCAGGGGAGTGGGAGGAGAGGGGATTGAGCCAGTAGTAGCACACTGCTGCACCCACCAACACTAATAACCAGCCGTATCTCATCCTGCTGAATGTTAATGTAAAAGTTATGTATAATTACTTTATAGTTACTGATATTACTGTTTAGAGTAAAGCGTAAAAGATACGAGAACTTGTGTAGATTTTAGAGCGATAGTTTCTTAATAGAATGGTTAAACATGACGTATCTATTGTATATAGTTGAAAGTAAAACAAAATTTTAATCAGTAATGGTGATGTCATAAATTATTTGTAAAAGGAAGACAACATTTTGAATTATGTAATATAATTTTCGTTGAGAAGCTGCTGCCAAAAACTAAATATAGCAGAGCAACCCACCCAGATAACTAGCACATGGTCACGTGCGAGCTAATTAACTTGAAAAGAATGACCACATAAATCTCGCAAAGTTGGGCTGCAGTATTGGATAAGTAAAGGTTCTAGGTTTAGTTATCATGGAGTCCATGATGCCTTTGGCACATTCACTGATGCCTCCCATCATCGACTCTCCCACATCCATCACAGCCTTCAGCTCAAGACTCTTCATGACCCCCAGAGACCCCACAGTCAGCGACACCCCCGACCCTCGTGTCCTCAGTTCCTCTTGTAACGTGTAGAAGAACCCGTTTAGAGCGTGTTTTGTGGAGGAGAAAACAGAGAGACCAGATTGGGGGACCTCACCCAGCACTGAGGAAGTTACAAACATGTGCCCTGATGTCTTCTCTAGGTGCGGCAGTGCTTTCAGGGCTATCTCCATGTAACTGTACACGTTCACGGTGAATGTACGGAGCAGGAAATCAACGTCCTGGAGTTTCAGAGACTTCATGAAGAAGCCCCTGGGGATGTCAGCGTGGTTTAGTACCACATAGTCCAGGCCCCCAAGCAGATGTATAGCTGCATCCACTACCACCTGCGCGCTGCTAACATTACCAAAATCTAGAGGGAATATGTCAACCTGGGGGCTGCCCATCTTCAGTGCGGTATCTTTTATCTCCTGAGCTTTAGTGTCGGTCCGGGCCATCATAAGGGGCTGTATAATCTGTATAACATCGTCCGTCAGCTCAAACGTTCTCTGGAGGTTGAGGAGTGTTTTCTGTCTGCCGTCAGCTCTGTAGAAGATAACAAGTTTAGCACCTTGTTCTGCTAACTGATACGCTAGCTGCTCACCTACCTCGTACCCTATCCCACATAGCAGCACTCTCTTGTTGGAGAGGTGGGTCTTGTAGGAGGAGGAGGAGGGAGAGGAGAGGTGGTGGTAGAGTGGGACTGTAACCAGGGTAACCAGGAGGAGGAGGAGACTTGCCATGTGGGCTGGTTTGGGTACACTCGCCATTATAACGCTGGCAACAGTGGTACAAATATAAACTACGAAACGGGAATAATGTATCGATTACAATAAGACAGAGGCTGGATGAGATAAGATCTGTTAAAATACTCAGCTGGGTATTGGGTAACTGTGCGAAGATAAGGGTATTCTCAGAACAAGCAGTGTATCCCAGTAATTATCTTCAAACTAAATTAAGATAAGAAACTGGTCAGTTGAAGCGACTTTTGTTTCCTTGCTTTTTAGTAGCCACGTGTATATAACACGTATATTACACGTGTGTATATTATTATATAGAAAAGTGTGTGAATGTTCTCGTAACAAGACCGGGCCTAAACTTCCGTGATTTTATTGGCCCTTTATTTCACCAAGCAAACGGCCGGTCAATGTAGCGCACTCTAGTTCGACAGAGTCGAACTTTAGGGTTTGTCGAACTAGAGTACGTGTCGAACTAGAGTACGTGTCGAACTAAACTACATGTCGAACTAGAGTACATGTCGAACTAGAGTACGTGTACAAGGCCTCAATATTTTCCCACTGCAGGTACCTCACAACCCTGTGTTCCCACATATCCTCCAAAGATAATGACCTAAGAGAAGAGGCGCTCTCAGAGATCAGATCCAGCAAGAGACTCAGTCTGGTGCTCCCTTATCTCCTCCAGTTCATAGACCTCAGACTCAGGGATAACGTTCTGCTCTCAGGCAATATTATACAGGTTTGTAGGGGGGGGGGGGGCAGTGAGACGAGGGGGCAGTGGGACGAGGGGGGGGGCAGTGAGAAGAGGGGGGACAGTGGGGGCTGGGGCGAGGGGGCAGTGGGACGAGGGGGGGGGCAGTGGGACGAGGGGTTATTCGTTTATTTTCTGGGTAAGTCAAATACAGTCCGCGGAATTAATAAATTAATTGCTAATTCCAACAATCATATCTCCAAATCCATTGTAATAAATGTGATCTGTCTCCAGCTGCTGATAGCGTACAAGTGTATTCTGATGAATGATATAATCTACCTGGACCCCTTTATTCCCACTCTGCTGGACGAGTGTTACTCTATGTGTTGTGACTGGACAGATAGCAGAGAGTCTGCTAGCAATACTACAGGTACAATTATAGGGATACTGCAGGTACAATTATAGGAATACTACAGGTACAATTGTAGGAATACTACAGGTACAGTTATAGGAATACTACAGGTACAATTGTAGGAATACTACAGGTACAGTTATAGAAATACTACAGGTACAAATATAGGAATACTACAGGTACAATTGTAGGAATACTACAGGTACAATTATAGCAATACTACAGGTACAATTATAGGGACACTACAGGTACAATTATAGGGATTTACTGTTTTCTTTATTCAATTTTGTTTCAGTTCTTGTATGGACTTCGACATATTGATGATGGTTATATCATCTTGGTTTTTGTGCACCATTTCATTGCGACATCCGTAACAATTTCGTCCCGTTAAAAAAAAGAAAAAAAAGTTTTAATTAAAAAGAGTTTAAATATACAACATGCCAAAACCAACACGGTGCCCCTTCGAAATCTTTCTATTCACATTGCGAGAGCCCTCCCGTACCGTTTTAATATCTAGGCTGTATTCTCCAGGAATAATAGAGCACAGCTCGGACGTGACCGCCTACATAATCCTGCGGTTCGAGGACCGCAACACGCGGTACTACGAGAAATACACGCGGTTTTGTGCAGAGACTATTGAGAGTGATGAGCTATCTCTCAGTGCCCTTGGCAGTCTTACATTGCTTTCCAAGGTGAGCGCTCAGCATTGCAGGTATTTTGTTCGCGTTGATTTACAAGTGGTAATAATTGTTCTAATTTCTTACTTGTTCAGCTAATTTACTAAGTGACTTGTTCTAACTTCATACTTTTTCAGTTAGGACCACAGAGTGTAAACGAGAAGATAATCCCCCTCATATTTGGGATATACCGTGACATATTCAACGAATCAGAGAACTTTACCGTGGATCACACGGCTATACACATCAGGAGAACCCTCAAACTTTCTCTCTTCTCTTTTTACAACGTGAGTTCTTCTCTTTTTACAACGTGAGTTTTTCTCTTTTTACAACGTGAGTTCTTCTCTTTTTACAACGTGAGTTTTTCTCTTTTTACAACGTGAGCTTTTCTCTTTTTACAACGTGAGTTTTTCTCTTTTTACAACGTGAGTTTTTCTCTTTTTACAACGTGAATTTTTCTCTTTTTACAACGTGAGCTTTTCTCTTTTTACAACGTGAGTTTTTCTCTTTTTACAACGTGAGTTTTTCTCTTTTTACAACGTGAGCTTTTCTCTTTTTACAACGTGAGTTTTTTTCTTTTTACAACGTGAATTTTTCTCTTTTTACAACGTGAGTTTTTCTCTTTTTACAACGTGAGTTTTTAGCTTTTTACAACGTGAGTTTTTCTCTTTTTACAACGTGAGTTTTTCTCTTTTTACAACGTGAATTTTTCTCTCTTTTCAACGTGAGTTTTTCTCTTTTTACAACGTGAGTTTTTAGCTTTTTACAACGTGAGTTTTTCTCTTTTTACAACGTGAGTTTTTCTCTTGTTAATTGCGTCCTGTTTGATTTTATATAGAAAATCGATGGATTTAGGTACTCTCAGGTTGGATTCATTTACCAGCGTAGAGTATAGTATACCTTGTTGGACTTTATTTGAACGGACATTAATTGGACGACGGAGGCCTTACCGTTTAAAATTACGTCCGTTCACGCAATGTCCGGTCAAATAAAGTCCGACCAAGGTATTTCACAAATAATTTACAAGTAAAGGTTATAATGCCTTACATTGAGTAGGTATAATTAATGTAGAATTATCCTCATACAAGGTCTTACGATCAGATGGGCGGGAAAAAATGGGCACCAAAAATAAATGATCGGGGCTAGCTGAGCTGGTGATGAGCATAATTGAGGCAGAGTATTGTTTAGAGTAACAGATTCCAATTTCGAACACATTGTCCACATTCAACACGTTGTGTGTAAAGCTGCAGGGTGTAAGAATTATCGGCGTGTTTCATCGCCGGATCGCGTGACACTAACGCGTGACACTAACAACTTAGCTAAAGTGACTAAATTCCAATCTATTGAGGGATCCAGCTTGACAAATTTCTCATCCGCCAAGATTCATCCCTCCCTTTTTTCAAATATCAATTTAAAATTCACTTGCCAGTTACATGAGTTACATGTTGCTTCTGATTACTAGCTCACCTTGATTCAGTGTCGAACTTGCGGGTCCCTTTCATGTCTATATCTTATGATTAATATTCGTACGAGGTATGCACTATACGGAACGATCTTGAAAATTACAAATCGGATCAGGATCCTCAATCTGGCTAATTCAATTCTGTTGTATTGCTGTTTGTGGGTGACTCGTAGGACCGACGTTCCCTTTTTAAATGTATCCAGTAACGTGACACTACCATCTGGCGTTCATACTAAATGTTCTTATGTCTGACAAAAGAAATTTTGTGGCGTACCTACAGCTTTTTGGCGTACCTACAGCTTTTTGGCGCCCCCTGAAGCAGCTTTTTGTACGCCCAAATATTTTTTGCACGTCGACCGATCGTCAAGTTAGCCGGGATACATTTTGCTGCTAAATCGGACACTATTTCGTAGAAAAGATCTACAATTGGGTGTCTGCAGAGCCCTTTGTTAATGGTACGCTCTGTAGCTGCCCCTATATTGTTGCACACGTTAACAGTAACACGTACAGAGCAGATTGTCTGGTGTAAAGTAGCTTACTCGTTTTGGAATATCGATTATTGAACTGACCTGGCTTTGATTAGATTTCTTGCTACAATTCGATTTCCATTAATGTTTTTCAGGTTAATGTTACCAAGTGATTTTTTTGCTTATCCACTGCACTGCTGGAGTGCTCTAATTTATCGTATTTGAAAAAATTTACTTCAACTCCTGAATTTTGCTCTATACTTGATTATTAGCAATATTTTCTATATAAATTGTAATGCAGTGCACTTGGCACATAATCACAATTATGCTTTATAAGGGTTATCCTTTTTGGATATTTTTGGCCCCATTATCATTCAGGTGCCATGAATGATATATCGTTATTACAAGATCTAACGCGCATAAAATGAGACATTACAGGAGTATGTTAATATAGTATCATCAGATTCAGATGCAAAATATAAAGCTGTTTTAGCCGGATGCTGATATAATATCAAAGCTGGAGTGCTTATGCAATGTCAGAGAGATGAACACATCATTTCAAGTGGAATACAACAAATTTTATAAGTTTTAATAATGTAAGTTTCAAGCATTTCTTACATTATAGAAATTCTCTCAACAATGAGTTGATAAACCCTCGTGCGGTGTTTATTGTGCCGCTTTCTAGATATTCATTCAGCCCCGTGTTTATTGAAGCTGCCATCTGGTCATGGTATGTGTTTTGTGTAGTGCGTGGTCTCCAGACTCAATTATTATGCAGTTAAGTTACAGATTGAATATCTGTTTTACTCAGCAACATTGCTTGTATAATTTACATTATTACAGTTTTGATCAAGATAATTAGTTTTCATCTGTGTCATGTTATTTTGATGTAGAGAAACCGTAAGAGCTTCATATTTCACTAGTTCAGTATATAATGCTGCTTGTTGCTACTACTTTGAGTCTAACAGCTCGAATACTTAACAGGTTTTCAAGTGTCTCGAATCGATAATGTTATATATGAACATGTAATAAACAGTAACAAACTAAGCAAACGATGAACTTTACCAATATTGAATGTTAGCATGCTTCATACACGATTTGTTGAGAAATTCCTAAAACAACATCCTTTAGAAAATTGTAATGAACGGAACTGAAGGTGACCATGAAGAGCTGGCACCTAAAAGTAAGGAGGACTCTGAACCTATCCAGAACGGAACCAATGAAGCAGGAGAAGAACCACTCACAATAGACGATGCGCTGGACAAGATCTACAAAAGTGTTAACATAAAACTACTGCTAGTGTTCTTTACTTCTGTAGGAACTGCCACCCAGACCCCCATGCAGATCTACGTGGTTATCTTCGCTGGGTTCATCCCTTACACCGAGTGGTCATGTCTCTCCGAAAAGTGTCTGAACCTGCTGGAGAACAGTAACAGCACAGAAGAGTTCTACACTTCCAAGACAATGTGCGGTTATGGTCTGGTGGCTAGAACGGACTTTGAGTGGACGAGCGAGAGGACCAGTTTCTCGATGGACTGGGATATCTACTGTGACACTGAAGCTAAGTTCTCAACCATATCAAGCTTCTTTTTCATAGGTGCAACTGTGGGACTGCTCGTGTCCACTGCTATATTCGACAGGTTTGGTAGGAAAAACGGAGCAATTGCAGGTAATCTGATCGGAGCTACAGCCACACTGATTGGAACATGGGTGCCTTCCATTGAGATAATGCTGGTTGTCAGGATCTTCCAGGGGGTTGGTATGTTTATCCAGCTGACGGGTATTTACTGCTGGACCCTTGAGATGACGCCGGCCCATCTGAGGAGCTTTGCTAACGGCGCTATCTTCAGCGTTTGGTCAGTTGGTTACATGTTGGTAACAATGTTTGGGTATCTCATCCCCACCTGGAATTACATCTTCACTGCAGTGGCCATTCTCAACTATACTCTCATGATCCCTGTCCTGATCTACCCCATCTCTCCCAGATTCGCTCTGGTCCGGGGAAGAGAGGAGGAGGCTAAGAGAACCCTGGAATCCTTCTCCCGGCTCTGTAACAATGAAACATCAATGGAAACTATAAAGTTGACCTACAAGAAGAGAGTTCAGAATTACTTCCAGCAAGTCAAAGACTTCAAGACGTACCCAACCTTACGGAAAGAAACCATACTAGGCATGATATGCTGGTTTATCGTGGCCGTTCTCTTCTATGGCTTTTCCTTCGGTTGGAATAACATCTCGAGTGAGTTCTACTCTGGTCACATGATAGCAGCTACTGGCAAGCTTATCGGCTTTGCAGCTGCTATCCCGGCCTGCAACATTTTCGGAAGGAAGAAAGCCATACTTGTGATCCTGGCAATCGGCCTTGTCTCCAACTTCCTAGCTATGCCAGATGTGCAGCTCAGTCAAGGCTGGACGCTGGAGTACGTGGCATGTCTGATCGGAAACCTGTCGTGCTCCACCGCGTTCGGAATAATCTACCTGTACTCAGGAGAGTTGGCCCCCACCACTCACAGAGGCATGATCATGTCCCTTAGCTCCGCTTCAGCCAGGGTAGGCAGCTATGTTGGCACCTACGCGGGTCTACTCTACGCTGTGGCAGACAGGCGAGTTCCTCTAGCAGTGTTTGCTGGGCTTACTTGCATCTTCATGCTAGCTGTGTTCTTCCTGTCTGACCCGACTGGTAGGAGGATCCCAGAGACTCCACGTGATGTGGAGGTGTTGTCGGGAAATGACGGATTCTTGCAGATACTCGACGATACGGAGAAGGAGGAGACAACTGGGAAACAGGACCGTGTCAGTCTTTCTGTTTAATTACAATTAGAATTGTGTATACTATCTGTCCAGGATGACGCGTCAGTCTTACTGTTTAATTACAATTAGAATTGTGTATACTATCTGTCCAGGATGACGTTCAAATCGCGGGGTTGTGATCCCGCATTTGTGTCTGATTTTATTGCAAAATTGGTACAGTAAAACCCCGATTTACCGCATACCCCGATTTACCACAAACCCAGATTTAACGCAAACCCCGATTTACCGCAAACCCTGATTTACCGCAAACCCCGATTTACCACAAACCCCGATTTACCGCAAACCCCGATTTACCGCAAACCCCGATTTACCGCAAACCCCGATTTACCGCGTTTGTTTCCTTACTCCCAAACTAAGTTTAACTGTACTAAATTACACATTCAAATACAGCAGTTATACGACAAATTATTTGATTCTGCATTCGCGGAATCTAACTGGTCTCCCTGCATCTGGCAATAAATCTGTTTGGTCTGAATTTATCAATAATGACTTGAGCATTAAGCGACAGATTAATTTCTTCAAAATCTCGTTCTTAACGTTATGCATATTCTGATTTTATCTTTATAACTCTCACTTTGTGTTTCAATGTTGTCCATATTTTAAAAATTACCTCTTTTTCTGCATCGTAAAAAAGTGCAATGTTAGCAATGTATTTTGCGGCAGGTTTTCTAGATCCCCAGGCTTTGTAATCGTTGGTACTATTTACAGTTCAGCTAAAGAAAATAAGTTCGGTTGTGGAATTTTACCCCTAGAATTTCTATGAGTGAACGAACTAAGTCAAATTTCTCTCAGCAAGGCAGTTTATCCATCACCATAACGTGATGTTTGATAGTTTTCTAATCTCTATGTATAAGAACATGGCTTCCCACCAAATATAAGCAAAATTAACACAAATTCACCCAGACCCCTTATTATCCGCCCCTTATAGTGCAGACCCAGTACGAAGTTAACTGAGCAGGTGTGGGCTAGTGCTATTTGTTCTTAGGATCGGCAAATTTAAAATAAAAATCCGCTCGATTCATAACGCCCAAAAATAAAAATCGTATGAAATTGTTTAAAATCGTGTCAAAATCGGATGTAAAATGTACTTACAAATCATAGTTATATTTTATGATTAATTGTTTATACTTTATATATGTACTAGCAGGAACCCGTCTAACCTCAAGAGACTAAAATAATTATTACCTATTTAATTCGCGTTTTTGACACCACTTGGGGGTCCAAATTGATGCCGTGGTCAATGGAGCGTGTTTTTGGGCATGCCTTTCTGATCGTTAGAATTATGATCGCTCCTAAGAAATTAGACTATTTTAAAAATTTGGTCGTACCTATTTGCTGTAACCACTGTAAGTGTAATGATGGTGAATTGAAGACTATGTGCATTTTGAAATTGAGATTATACATAAAAATATTCATCTCTTGCGATATTTTGTTGACATAATATTATCCTACCTGATCCCATCCATCCCTCCCAGGCAATTTACAAAGCGATGCATATAACGAAGTTAAACCAACTAGTTGCCTCCTACAACGCAAACCACAGCCCATTCCAACTGCAACAGAAAGACCAGGAAACTGAAACACAAACAGACACTGACCGACAGAGGAATAAACAGGCGAATGAGCAGGCAAGTTTAGATCTCCTTTCATACCAAGACATTGCAGAGAAGCTGGAAGAAAGTGTTACTATGATAGGGCCAACGTGGCCCTCTATGGCCAAACATCCGCCTCTTCTCGCTAAGAAGCAGACTAAAGAGATCAGCAAGCAGTTGCGGAAGAATTTCGCAATGTTTGAGACTTTGAAGGGGAAGATGTTACCGGCGGAGAGGAAAACTTTTGTAAGGAAGAAAACTGATAAACAAGTTAAATCCAACCAGATTTATAATTTGTATAATAATCTTTCACCGTTGCAATACTTTTTATGATTATTTGAGAATGTATTTATAGTAGAGTCAAAAAATAAGAGAGTGAAATCAGTAAGGTGAGACTCCAAACAACGAGTAAATGTTAGGAAGTAAATTAAATTTCGTTCTCATTTTTATTTGACTTTACTTTAACATGTAATTATTAACTATTCAATGGAGACTGTTGCCGGCAGGTATTTCATAAGTTTTATCTGATAGTTTGGCTAACGGCTTTTCTCTAAATATTTGAATGCTTTCAATATCAATGAATATTGCAGATTGCTTAAATTATTGAATGTATTATTCTGTTTTATTATTCATCATTTGTTTTATCTTGTATATCATGTTCATTATATATGTATGTGCAGTAGTTAATAGATTTTTTTGCCGATTGCGGTTAAAAAGACTATGAAATCAGAAACTTTATTTCAGTTCCCAAAACTTCTCGAATATCTTCAACATTTGAAAATGAAAGTTAAAATGTTGCTGCTTTAAACCAAAAACACAAGAAATTATAAAATGTCTGAAAACGTTTTTACCATAGCTCCATGTCAAATGAGCTCGTTTACTGCCGAGAACAACGCATGTGGACAAACCCTTCTCCATCTGGTGGCACGAGGAAGTGCCATCATAGCGGAGCTGTTGAGGTTATCCAGCAATGTGCCGGCCGTGTTCTATCTCAACAACAAAGTTGATGTCGACAGGTTAGAAATCATGGAGTTTTTGTACATTTTAATTGTTTAATTTGACGGTTTGTTTGTGAATCCCGATATTGATATTGTCAGCTCTTTAGTTTTAATTTTGGGATTTAATTTTAACCTTTCGTTTTACCACAAATAGAAATATTAGAAAGGAATAAATAAGGAGTCAGGTTTGGAGAAAAACGTTCCTATCGTATTATGTAATTTGTTTGACAGTCAAAGTGCTGAAAACAATCATTGCGAGGATGACAAACACTATTTAATAGATTTACATACGAGATTTACATACGAGAAAAGTTCGTTATGACTTTTTTAAATGAGTCGCTTAAAATCGATCTCAAAATAATGGTAAAATAATGGTTAAAATAATTGATAAAAATCTAAAAAACTGAAATGATGAAATTTCCTATTTAATTTATACCCTAATTACCTTAATTTCTCAATATCAATGAAATGACGCTTAAAAAGGTTCAATTGATCATCATCATTTAATTAATTGAAGACTCCGCCAAATTGCATGCACATACATACATCCTCATTCTTCCTCCCCCACAATAAAAATAATTTAAATTTCTCTAGATTTCTCTACATTTCATTCCTGAAAGCATAGTTTCAAAATTTACGGGACTTCGCCCTAAATCGCCCCTGCGGCCTGCCCCAAATATTGGAAAAATCTTGCTCTGTTGTTAGAATTATCAGAATCTGGCAATGTGAGATGATGTCAATCCTGAAGGAAATCAAAAATACCATTTCTTAGCAGCACAAGTTTCACAAGAGCAGCTGGCAGGTGAGTCGCCCTATGGAAAAAACACCCTGTCCCCTGATGATGAAGTAACTAGAATAGTTACTAATTAAATAGTTGCGAAAAAATTGTTCTTGAACATTGAATCGAAAATGTAACAACAAATATGAATAAACTGGATATACACCACTGCCATTAACTGTCCTTTCCTGATAAACTCACTCCTTTGATTAAACTTTTACTGTCTCAACGATCTTTCTCGTACCGTCGATCTAGAACTAACAGGTCGATGCTGAGATGATCTGTTCTTTCTGCTACTGTTCTTCCTGCTACTGTTCTTTCTGCTACTGTTCTTCCTGCTACTTTTCTTCCTGCTACTTTTCTTCCAGCTACTGTTCTTCCTGCTACTGTTCTTCCAGCTACTTTTCTTCCTGCTACTGTTCTTCCTGCTACTTTTCTTCCAGCTACTGTTCTTCCTGCTACTGTTCTTCCTGCTACTGTTCTTTCTGCTACTGTTCTTCCTGCTACTGTTCTTCCTGCTACTGTTCTTCCAGCTACTTTTCTTCCTGCTACTGTTCTTCCTGCTACTGTTCTTCCTGCTAATGTTCTTCCTGCTACTTTTCTTCCTGCTACTTTTCTTCCAGCTACTGTTCTTCCTGCTACTGTTCTTCCAGCTACTTTTCTTCCTGCTACTGTTCTTCCTGCTACTTTTCTTCCAGCTACTGTTCTTCCTGCTACTGTTCTTCCTGCTACTGTTCTTTCTGCTACTGTTCTTCCTGCTACTGTTCTTCCTGCTACTGTTCTTCCTGCTACTGTTCTTTCTGCTACTGTTCTTCCTGCTACTGTTCTTCCTGCTACTGTTCTTCCTGCTACTGTTCTTCCTGCTACTGTTCTTCCTGCTACTGTTCTTTCTGCTACTGTTCTTCCTGCTACTGTTCTTCCTGTTACTGTTCTTCCTGCTAATGTTCTTCCTGCTACTGTTCTTCCTGCTACTGTTCTTCCTGCTACTGTTCTTGCTGCTACTGTTCTTTCTGCTACTGTTCTTCCTGCTACTGTTCTTCCTGCTAAATTATATGTAGACCTGTAGTAAAGAACCATTGCTATTAAAATACAAACTACACCCAATTTTCAGAGATATAAATCTACTTAAGTCTGATTATTTATGGACAAAATGAGCCAAAAACACTCATTTGGTTGCCTATCCAAGGTCTCAAGAACCGATAAAGCTTTGGTGTCCGCAAATTCAGGAGACACTTCTCTTCTGTTAAAAGTCGGTCTATTATGTTCATGAAACAACCAATGAATATATAAACTTAAGGGGACATACACCAAAAATTTTTTGCCGAGATTCGGAATTTGACTTCATATTATGAAAGTATAGATAAAAACAATAAGATTTGATGCATTGAAAAACTTTTTTGAGAGTACGCACTTTCGAAAAAAATATTTTCTTTTTGGAAATTTTAAGAAGTCTGTCACTGAAATACCGATAATTTAGTCATTTTAAACGTTTTTTGGCTGATCTTTTTATTTAACATTACTTACAATCCGTACAAGAAGCCCTCCAAAGGATTATACAATTAAATAATAAATGACGAAGTTACAGACCGAACAAGGTCGAGAGAAGCAAAATTGAAAGTGTTGCCTACTATTAAAGTTGTACATTTTTTTAAAAGTTTGGTGTATGTCTCCTTAAATAATATTGTATAAGATACTTACCTGGACAGCTGTAGCAGTGATATTCCGTCCGTAAACAAACTCAACTAGGTCCCACTTTATAATTAGTCCAGAATCATTGCTAGAAATGGTAACACGATTAATATGGTTTATTGCAGGGGAAGGATATAAAAGACGTGATTAAATCAACAGATTTTTGATAAAATTTTAAACCATAGAATCATGTAGTACCATATTAAATGTTATATAACTTTAAAAATCGAAGAAGAGTAAATGAAACCATAAATATCAATATTAATGTATCGAAAAATTAGCATTATATCGGAGAAGAATAGTAATGTCTGACATTCCAAGTAAATATAATAACATCCACCAATGATTGTATCTCAATTTTTATAACCAAAAACGCAAATGATAAGTTCATAATAACTCTAATAACATTAACATCCTAAAATGATAATAAGTGCTGAAAGCTTCCGACGGAAATTGGATAAAATGCGACAATCCCTGGTGTTATCCCGTTTTCTAAAAATGTAATGATTCAATACCACGATAGAGCAAATGGGAGGATGGCGTAAGCTTGTTTTTGGCATGTGACATTAATTTGCGCAACAAATGTTAGATTTCATGATTTATATTTGTTGCAAACTGACTGGTAGTCATCTCTATCACATATACATGTCAAAACTAATTTACGTAATCTTCCCGATTTTAAAAGGTTTTTAGTGAAACTGATTTTAGCCAGATACCTTATACAGACATACAACACAACAACCAAGATTGTTTACCGATTTCTTTAACAATCACAATGCTTGACTTGGATACAACAGATAGGACGATGACGCAAACTTGTTTTTGGCATGTGACATTAATTTGCGCAACAAATGTTAGATTTAGTGATTTATATTTGTTGCAAACTGACTGGTAGTCATCTCTGTCACATGTCAAAACTAATTTACGTAATCTTCCCGATTTTAAAAGGTTTTTGAAAGAAACTGATTTTAGCCAGATACCCTATACAGACATACAACACTACAACCAAGATTCTTTACCGATTTCTTTAACGATCAAAATGCTTGACTTGGATATAACAGATAGGACGATGACGCAAGCTTGTTTTTGGCATGTGACATTAATTTGCGCAACAAATGTAAGATTTTGTGATTTGTATTTGTTGCAAACTGACTGGTAGTCATCTCTGTCACATGTCAAAACTAATTTACGTAATCTTCCTGATTTTAAAAGGTTTTGAATGAAACTGATTTTAGCCAGATACCCTATACAGACATACAATACAACAACCAAGATTCTTTACCGATTTCTTTAACAATCACAATGCTTGACTTGGATATAACAGATAGGACGATGACGCAAGCTTGTTTTTGGCATGTGACATTAATTTGCGCAACAAATGTTAGATTTTGTGATTTGTATTTGTTGCAAACTGACTGGTAAGTTATCTCTGTCACATGTCAAAACTAATTTACATAATCTTCCCCTTTCTAAAAGGTTTTGGATGAAACTGGGTTTAGCTGGATACAGACATACAATACAACAACCAAGATTCTTTACCGATTTCTTTAACCATAAAGCTTTTAATGAAATAGTTTAAGGGAAACAAAATAAATCTTAAGATTTCTTACCACTGGAACGTGATCCCGATCAGTTTTCTATTAACAATCTCCTGAATTCAAATAGCATCAGTAATACCAGTCCGTGTAGTACAATCAACTGGGGGTGAGGTTGGGCAACTCTGCTCTGAATAACATGCAGTTCCATTTCCTCTATTGGAGCTGGTTGATTTGGTGCAACATATATACCAAGTGCTGAAAGAAATCTCGTTTTCAGTTGTTTTATTCTGTCAACGGCAATCTTTTCGAAGGGTTCACCGTATATAAGCGGATTGATGACTGAGTTTACAGGTAGTATCACAAGAGAAAATATAGGGTATGAAGAAGTTGCGTCAATTAACTCCAGTGAATGCAGTCCACAGATAAAGATGAAGGGAACCCAGCAAAAGAAATCTGTTAAAATGATCAGTGCTATGTTTCTTTGGGTCTTTTTTCTTTCTCGCCTTGCTTCAATTCTTTCATCCTCATGATTAAGGTGATCCTCAATTTGATTCGAACGTTTAGATTTTGCTTTGATAATCCCATAGCATATGCTGATTATGAAGAAACATGATAAGTTTATTGATAAACAGGACCATACAAAATTAATTTGGGGATCGTTTCTGTCCACAAAATATTTGAATAAACACACACCATTGTTGCCGTAAAAATGGATTTTTCTACGATCAAGTGCTCCTTTTTCATAGTCTTTAGTGAACATTTCATCAACTAAAGAGTTTATGCGTTTCCATGTGAATTTTTCACCGTCTATGTTAATCCTTCCATAGTACCCTTTGATAACTCCGAGATGAGTGTTTTTGTCTACATAAGGTAGGAATGATTTTATTTTCGGGTTATATGTCATCCCGTTAACAAAAAAATCCTCATAAGATGGTATAAGAGGTCCAATAGCCATAACAAGACTTATAGCCGTGATTGTGGCTATTATCACGGTGATTTTAATGAACAAGTTT